GTCACTCCACATCTGAGCCCGTTTTTCTTATCTTAAAATGAAAATACTGCCAACCTCCTAGAGGATCGTGGTGAGGAATAAAGGAGGTAGTGTATTTAAAGTGGTTTAGCTGAGTAGCTCTTACTACATCTTCATTCTGTTTTATTGGGTATTTAGAATGAGGTTGTACGTGGATGAATGAAGTATATTGTTTCTTTACAGTATAGTGTATGGAACATAGCCTGTGTCATAGTATAAATGTAAATTATATATTGTAGTGTTGAACTCATACTTGACACTTGATTAGCCAGGGTCCAAATGCAGTTTCCTCACTTCAGAGCTGTATCTCAGCTGTGATTCTATACTGCTTCTCCCAGTAGAAATTTCCCAAATTGTAGATAAAGAAGTAAGCGTGAATTAAGAAGAAACCTGAGATGGGGCGCGGTGGCTCATGCCTGTAATTCCAGCACTTTGGGAGGCCAAGGCGGGCAGATCACAAGGTCAGGAGATCGAGACCAGCCTGGCTAACATAGTGAAACCCTGTCTCTACTAAAATACCAAAAAAAAAAAAAAAAAAAAATTAGCTGGGTATGGTGGTACGCACCTGTAGTCCCAGCTACTTAGGAGGCTGAGGCAGGAGAATCACTTGAACCTGGGATGTGGAAGTTGTAGTGAGCCAAGATCGCACCACTGCACTCCAGCCTAGCGACACAGCAACACTCCATCTCAAAACAAAACAAGAAAAAAACGGACAGGTTCAGTCATGTTTTGGAAGAAGGCTTGTTGGTTTAACCTAAATTAGGAACAAGAAGCTATCGTGACACTTTTATCATGTCAGTTTTGGAGGAAAAAATGACATGAAACTACTACATATGTTAAAAGGCAAGCCAAGGACTCAGCAATACAGTTTAGCTACTTTAGAAGGAACAGTAAATGGCTGAGCACAGTGGCTCATGCCTGCAATCCCAGCACTTTGGGAAGCTGAAGCAGGTGGATCACCTGAGGTCAAGAGTTCGAGACCAGCCTTGCCAAGATGGTGAAACCTCATCTCTACTAAAAATACAAAAATTAGTTGGGCGTGGTGGCTCAGGCCTGTAATCCCAGCTACTCAAGAGGCTGAGGCAGGAGAATCGCTTGAACCTGAGAGGCGGAGGTTGCAGTGAACCGAGATCTCCCCACCACACTCCAGCCTGGGCAACAGAACAAGATTCCATCTCAAAAATAAGGAAGGGAAAAGATCTGGAAGCTCAGAGGCGTCATTGAAAGGGAGCAGGGATAATGCCATGTAGAGCTTGTGTTTGAGGTCCTGTCTTTTTGTTTCGTTTTATTTTTGAGTTGGAGTCTTGCTCTGAGATGAGTGTGGCTGTGTTCTAACAGAACTCTAATTACAAAGGCAGGTGCTTCACCAGCCGTAGTTTGCTGAGCCCTGGCCTAGACTACAGTAGTCTCTCCTAATGCTGAGTCTGGCTTAGACTATCTCTTCCTTCCTTCCTTCTTCCTATCTTGTCTCCTAGCAGTCAAGGGGATCTTTTTGTTGTTTTCTGTTGTTGTTTTAAAAAGATGGGGTCGTTCTCTGTCTTCCAGCTGGAGTGCAGTGGTGCCATCATAGCTCACTGTAACCTCAAACTCCCTGGCTCAAGCAGTCCTCCTGCCTCAGCCTCCCAAGTAGCTGGGACTACAGGGATGCACCACCATCAAAGCTAATTTTTAATTTTTTTGTAGAGTTGGGGGTCTCACTGTGTTGCCCAAGCTGGTCTAGAACTCCTGGCCTCAAGCAGTCATCCTGCTTTGGCCTCCCAAAGTGCTGAAATTACCTGTGCTTGCCACCATGCCTGGCTGGGGATCTTTTAGAAGCATAAATCAGCATGTTACTCTCCTGCTTAAGACTTGTAGTAGCTGCCCATCATCCTTCCTGTGAAGTTCAAGCACCTCACCATGACCTGAAAGGGTCCAGTGTGAACTACCCACCTTTTGGAACACATCTAGTTCCTTCCGCACTGGCAAGATTGACATCTTTTTCCAGGCTTGTACCTGCCAAGCTTGCTCCTGCCCCAGGGACTTTGTGGGTTTTTTTGTTTTTGTTTTTTGGTTTTTTTGAGATGGAGTTTCATTCTTGTTGCCCAGGCTGGAGTGCAATGTCATGATCTTGGCTCACTACAGCTACCGCCTCCTGGGTTCAAGCACTTCTCCTGCCTTGGCTTTCCAAATAGCTGGGACTATAGGCATGCACCACCATGCCCAGCTAATTTTGTGTTTTTAGTAGAGATGGGGTTTCACCATGTTGTCCAGGCTGGTCTTGAACTCCTGACCTCAGTTGATCTACCCACTCGGCCTCCCAAAGTGCTGGGATTATAGGCGTGAGCCACCGCACCCAGCCCCACAGGCTCTTTGTACCTGTTCCTCTGCTAGAACATACTTTCTCAGATTTTTATGTGGCCAGCTCCTCATTGTCACCTAGGACTCAGATGTCACTCCTCATAGTGGCCTTCCCAATCACTCTATTTAAAGCAGCTTTCCTAAGCATGCTCTGTGTGACATTATCTTCTCTTACTGTAGTAATGGTTATCACCTACTGAAATGATCAGCTTATTGATTACCTGGTTTATCTTTAACTCCCCCCGCCAGCTGCTGACTCTTAAGTACCAGGCCTGGTGGTTCCTCTTCACCACAAAAGCTCCAGTGCTTTAAAAAAAGTCCATCACACAGTAGGTACTTAACATTTATTGGGTGAATTGCCTTGTTTTACAATCCTAGTATATTTGTGGTGTGTTCAAGTATTGCTCTGCCTTCAGGGATCTTACTACCTTTTCAGAAACTATGAAATGTACGGTATTACCCTGGGGCTTATGCAGAGAGGAAGGAGACTTGCCTCAGCATCACAGAACTAGTAAATGTAAGCAGACAGTGATGTCCGCTGTTGAAATCCTGCATTTGGTTTTCAGTATTATGATTGTTATTGGTTGTTTATTTGTTTCAGGTAATTTCTGTTAGTTTCAATAGATCTTAGACTTCCGGGAACGTTTGGACTAGCTCAGAACTACCACTGAAGACTTTACTCTGGGGGACAGCTATGCTAGCTGTCCCTTGATAGACCCCTGCTTATTAACTTTAACTGAGGGATTAGCATCAAGAGTAGTTGCTGTAAATATTCCTTTGGTTAAATGAAACAGTTGATTTATTATAAAGATCACATTCAATATCCTGCTGAGAACAAAGTAGATAAGAACTTCGGCATACCGTTTGTTTCTGGGGGAATTTTTTTGTTTTGTTTTGTTTTGTTTTGTTTTGTTTTGTTTTTGAGACGCAGTTTCCCTCTTGTTACTCAGGCTGGATAACCTTGGCTCACTGCAACCTCTGCCTCCTGGGTTCAGGCAATTCTCCTGCCTCAGCCTCCTGAGTAGCTGGGATTACAGGCACGTTGCCACCATGCCCAGCTAATTTTTTGTATTTTTAGTAGAGACGGGGTTTCATCATGTTGACCAGGATGGTCTCGATCTCTTGACCTCGTGATCCACTCGCCTCGGCCTCCCAAAGTGCTGGGATTACAGGCTTGAGCCACTGCGCCCAATCTGAAATAGCTCTTAGAGATCACCTCCCTCTCCCTGCTGCAGGAATCCTTTTAAAATTGTTTGGATACTTCCAGTAAAGACAAGCCTATAGATCACACATCAATTTATAGACATTAAAGTTTATAGGATGGCTGTATTCCTAAAGAATTATCAGGCTGAGCACCACAGCTCACACCTTTGAGCCATGGGATTAGCCAAGTGCTATTCCCAGCAGTTTGTGAGACAGGCAGGAGGATTGCTTGAGCTCAGGAGTTGGAGACCACCCTGGGCAATGTATTGAGACCTCATCTCTATTAAAAACAAAAAAAATAGGCCTTTGGGAGGCCAAGGCAGGCAGATCACCTGAGGTCAGGAGTTCGAGATCAGCCTGGCCAATGTGGTGAAACCCTGTCTCTACTAAAAATACAAAAATTAGCTGGGTGTGGTGGTGCACGCCTGTAATCTCAGCAACTTCAGAGGCTGAGGCAGGAGAAGTGCTTGAACCCAGGAGATAGATGTTTCAGTGAGCTGAGATCGCACCATTGCACTCCAGCCTGGGTGACGACAAGAGCAAAACTCTATCCCCCCAAAAATATGAATAAATAAATAAATTTAGCTGGGCATGGTGGTGCATACTTGTAGTCTCAGCTACTTGGGAGGCTGAGTGAGGCAGGAGGATCACTTGAGCTTGGGAAATGTAGGCTACAGTGAACAATGATCACGTCACTGCACTCCAGCTGGATGACAGAGCAAGACCCCTTTGTAACATTTGAGCACACAAGGCCTTTCAAATATTCTTGGGGAATTTGTTGCATAATGGAACCCTGTGAGAAAACCTAAACCTTTTGAAGAAAGTTCTTCAATTGTTGGCTTGCTTTTTTTTTCTTAAGATGTGACATGCCTATGTATTAAGTGGTGACTTAAAAATACTAATTTATGGCCGGATGTGGTGGCTCATGCCTGTAATCCCAGCACTTTGGGAGGCCAAGGTGGGAGGATCACCTGAGGTTGAGAGTTCGAGACCAGCCTGACCAACATGGAGAAACCCATCTCTACTAAAAATACAAAATTAGCCGGGCACAGTGCCACATGCCTGAATCCCAGCTACTTGGGAGGCTGAGGCAGGAGAATCGCTTGAACCCAGGAGGCAGAGGTTGCAGTGAGCCGAGATTACGCCATTGCACTCCAGCCTGGACAACAAGAGTGAAATTCCGTATCAAAAAAGTAAATAAATAAATACTAATTTGCTGGTAGAGACACATTTTTGAAAGTACTCTAAAGACACGTTATTATTGAGACCATAGGAAAACTCACTTAACAGTGAAAAGTACTTGTGCTCTTATGGCGGTGCCTTACGTTAATCTAGGTCAGGGGAGAAATGGGATAACAGCCCTTTAAAGAGGACGCTTGTCTTTCTCCCTCAGATAGAGCCATGGTTTGTTACTGAGTATTTAAATCTGATTCTCTCTGTAGATTGCTGCTAAAATTGATTCAATTCCTCACTTGAATAATTCCACACCTCTAGTGGACCCCTCAGTATATGGATATGGAGTACAAAAACGGCCCTTGGATGATGGAGGTAAGTTGCCAGAAATATCTTTGCTTTTCAGGTAATAGTGAACCTGCCAGTTAAGTTTGAATTTGTCTGCCATTACCTTAGCGACTCTCTAGTGTCACTGTGTTGAGAGGAATTGTTGAAGGGAAGAATTCAGGATGATTTTTCTCAGCAGTTCTTCAGCATTTGAGTTCCTATTTGCCTGGATAATACAGAAATCATTTCAGCCAGTCTCTGAGATAAAGACTTGGCCCCTGAGCATCAGCTTGGAAATAATTTGACCTATTTGAGAATTTTGTTTGATTTAGCCCTCCATTGTTCTTCAGCACACATGGAAATCGAAATTCCCACTTTTCTCCAAAAAAATGCTAAGATTTGGTGCATGGCTCTCAGGAAGCTGTGGCTACATCTTGACCTGAAAGAAGGAGAAGAATGGTGTCTTTCTACAGTCTAGCTGCCAAGTTTTTCACCATTCCCATTTATGACAGGCTCTTTCTAGAAGCATCCCTTTTCTTTAATTCATTCATTTATTTGTTGTTTTGTTGGCTGGTTTATATGCTGTACTACATCCCAGAAAGAATCTGAGAACACTTAGAAGTGCCCATCGCCAGCACTTCGGCAGAGTACCTCTCAGATATGTTTCTTCAGGGAGCTTGGACATCTGATCGTATTTTGTCTTCTGTTACTATAGAAGCAATAGTGAAGTACACTAGATGAACGTGAATTTGCCTGTAGTCAAGTGAGTCAGTGTCTTCTTTTGTGTTCTTTTTCTGCCGCTCTGTACCCAGTCCTTTATGTTTGTGCATATTTCTGTGATGCATTATGTGAAAAACAAAGGTGTAGAGCAGTGTGTATTGCGTAGTCTTTTCTCCCAAAAGTGCATGTTTTTATGTACATAGAAAGATATAATTTGCCATGACTCATTTCTCTGGTCTCTAGGAATTCTTGTTATTGTTTTTAATCTCCCCTTGGAGATGGGATCACACAGGTCTCAGACTAGAGTGCAGTGGTGCAGTTGAACTCCTGGACTCAAGTGATCTTCTCACCTCAGCCTCCCAAGTAGCTGGGGCTACAGGCATGAACCACCAAGCTTCCTAGTACATTTCTAAATCCTCCAATTCATATACTTGTTCACAAATCTCAATGTCCTGAATAAACCCTATGTTAAGGTTCTTTTTAGTTAACTTAAGAGTTGAAGTATTTTTTAAAATTGTATTTTGAATTTTTGTGAGTGCATAGGTGTATATATTTATGTGGTACATGAGATGTTTTGGTACAGGCCTGCAATGTGAAATAGGTACATCATGGAAAATGGGGGTATCCATTCCCTCAAGCATTTATCTTTTGAGTTACAAACAACCCAGTTACTCTCTTTATTTTAAAATGTACAGTTATCACTGGCTATAATCACCCTGTTTTGCCGTCAAATAGTAGGTCTTATTCTTTCTTTTTTTCTGTACTCATTAACCTGCGCCCCCTGACCCCCGCAGCCCCACTCCCCTTCCCAGCCTCTGGTAGCCATCCTTCTACTCTCTATGTCCATGAGTTCAACCGTTTTGATTTTTATATTGCACAAATAAGCAAGAACATGTGATGTTTGTCTTTCTCTGCCCGGCTTAATTCACTTAACATGATGATCTCCAGCTTCGTCCCTGTTGTTGCAAATGACTGAATCTCATCCCTTTTTATGGCTGAGTTGAAGTATTTTTAAATAGACCCAAATAATATCTCCCAAATTCTAGAGGACTGAACTTTAACCCCCTAAAGGTTAAAGAACCCTGCTTCAAGGGAGAGTTAGAAAGTTCATATTGCTAAAGAAGTGATCCGATAGCTTCTGTCAAAGAAAATCTAAGCCAAACCAAACAGCTGCACAGCCTTTGGAAATCTTTAGTGCTAAGAAAAATGTGCCAGAATTCCAGCCACTTGGTCTGCCTCTGCTTTTCTAAACTTTTCATCACAGCATCAGCAAGACTGTGAGCCTAGAAGGCTGCCAGGTAAACATGAACATACTTCCCTTCACAGGATCTGCTTATTCACATTCTTACTCTCTTAAGAGAGTGGCCCAGTGGCCTTACCCCTACCAGAAGACAGCTGATCACCGCAGACCTCAAATTCTACATGTGGAGAACAGCTTGGAGAAAAAAGCTGTATATGTAATCCTGTCATTTAAACAGTGCTCAGCAGAAGACGGGATTAATTTTGTTGAGCTGTAATACAGAATGTAAGAAGCCTGAGGGAAATTCCTTGTTCTTCAAATACAGTCTTACTACGTAAGACCAAGTGTCCTGGGATGATGAGAGATTCGGCATGGCACAGAAGCGTTCTTTCTTGCTTGCTATAAGAGGGCTTAATATTTAGAGGGAGGAAAAAGAGAAACCATGGTCATTTTCTGTTTGTAAAGACTTATTCTCCAAAAGGCAGATGCAGAAAAAATTATGGTTATCAAAACAAAGAAATGAAAATACACAATATAATAATGAACCCGAGGTTTTTAGCGAGATTCCAGACCTACTGGGCGATCTTGGCCAAGTCAGCTACATCCGCCTGTGACCCAGTTCTGTTTATCAACATGGATAATCTCTTTATTGTTGCTAATTTCTTTCTAATGTGTGTGCAGTGGACTAATGGGAGAAAAATGTCTGCAAAATGCCAGAGGGTTTCATTTGCAAATACGCAGGTATTCCTTACGCAGAGGACAGCAGATACCTGCTCACTGCAAGCACAAGCTTTAACACTTCAACTCCAAGCAGTGGGTGAAAAAAACAAGGCTGAATTGTGAAATTGTTGTGAAAGGCTGAATGAGTTGTGAAATGTATTGATCTCGATTTCTGGAAACACTGGGCCAGAGAGACACTGTCCATTAATGAGATGTGTGCACAGAGGCAGATAACTTAGTTTTGTTTTTATGTTGCTGACTCCTAAAAGGAACAAAAGCATGCTTGCTCTGAAAAGGTAAAAAGACTACTTTGCATTACAACTTTCTGCTAAGGCAAAAACACAGATAATGCAGTCATCCCTATTTGGTCTAGGGAATCACTAACACCGTCAAATATAAAAAGATCACACAGAGCATACCATTTTGGAGAAGCAGTTTACATGGTTTTCTTAGTTCCGATGGCCCCGGGGTGAATTTTCTGTTTTGTGGTCTTAAACGCTTTGTAAATACACAAGAATTTTTACAGTCAAATGAGTGCTGTCCCCTTAAAAGTCTTCAGTGTGAGTCTAAAGAATTTTCTACAAAAGTCTCCCATATCTAAAAACAACGACTGTCTCCTCTTAGAATTCCCAGAGATGGCCAGCATGGTGGCTCACACCTGTAATCCCAGCTTTCCCAGTGGTGGGAAAACTTGAGCCCAGGCATTCGAGGCCAGCTGGGCTGAACATAGCAAAACCATGTCTCTTAAAAATACATATTTCAAGTTTGTTTTTTTTTTAAGGTGCTAGGCAGTGGAACAAGGGAAGGGATTTGTTCCTGATGTAGAAAGGGGTTTGGGTCATTTGTGTTTCGGGGAGTGGCAGTTTTGAGCTGGCTGTTAGAAGGCTGTTCATGAGCCTGCTTAAACCTCAGAAGCAGAATTTGGAGCTCAGTTTGAAAGCCTGCCTGGATGCCTCTCCCTGAGAAGCTCAATCAGCAGTCCCTCCACCACCCTCCAGCTTTGGATCAGGCCATTTTAACCTTTTGCATCTTCAGTCTTGACACCCACATGTTCCAGCAGTCTTTGAGATGTACCCTTGGCACCCTACCAGTTCAGGAATCTGCCTTCTGGTCTCGGTTGTGGCACCTTTTCCATCCAGTGCTTCTCTTATGCTAGAGCTGGAGCCTCCCTGGAATCAGTCCAACCAGTTTCATTCCTCCAGCAGCCAGGGAGGTGCAGATCTTCCAACCTGGCCATCGCCTGCCCTCCCTGCTGGGCTCGTCCCTGTGTGGCACTCTGTGGAGCAGCCTGGCCACTGGCTCTTCGCTTGCTCTCCCCACCCAGCTCTTACCTGGCCAGCTCCTGCTCAGCCAACTTCCTCCTAGAAACCAGTCCTCTTCCTTATCTTATGACTTTCTTCAGTGCTCAGCCCACATGCCACCTACCCTCTTGGTCCGTCTTCCCTCCCTCCCTCCCTCCCTTCCTCGCTTCTTTCTTCCTTTTCCCCCCGCTTCTCCCTTTTTCACACACCCACCTCACCAGTGGATATTGCCATATCCTTCTCTGAATTTCTAAAGCAGTGTATTTGCCCTCTGCTCAGGGCAGACAACACCCCCACCTTCCTTCTGCAGTTACTGGGTCCCGCCATGCACCTCTCCTAGTAGAGCCTAGAGATGTGACTGTAAGACTGGCTTCATTTCCCATGAATTCCTCATGCCCAAAGTTCCCCCTTGTTTGCTATGATTTGCATTTTAAAACTTTCGGAAAAGTAAGTTCCAAATTTAAGAGAATAGTATTGGCTAAATAGTTTAGAAGTGCAAATTTAAATGTAATCTAAATTAGAGATTAGCAAGGTTTTTCTTTCCACTTTTTTTAGATGGAATCTAGTTCAGTCGCCTGTGGGCTGGAATGCAGTGGCATGATTTCGGCTCACTGCAACCTCCGCCTCCCAGGTTCAAGCAGTTCTCCTGCCTCAGCCTCTCAAGTAGCTGGGATAGCAGATGCCTGCCACCTCGCCCAGCTCATTTTTGTATTTTTAGTAGGGAGGGGTTTCACCGTGTTACCCAGGCTGGTCTTAAACTCCCAGCCTCAGGTGATCCACCCACTTGGGCCTCCCAAAGTGCCGGGATTACAGGCATGAGTCACTGTGCCTGATCTTAAGCTTTAAGGTATTTTTTTTTTTTTTTTTAAAGACAGGGTCTCACTCTTGCTGAGGCTGGAGTGCAGTGGGACAGTCACAGTTCACTATGGCCTCTACCTCCCAGGCTCAGGTGATCCTCCCACATCAGCCTCCTACATAGCTGGGACTACACTGCACCTAGCAATAAGCTTTTTTATAAAGGACTAGATAGTAAGCAGTTTAGGGGCTGGACAGGGTGGCTTATGCCT